ATATATATATATATATATATATATATATATATATATATATATATATATATATATATATATAACTTTGTTACAATAACATTTAGTAAAACTTTGATACTTCAATATGTGAGATCATATATGACTTCTGTATCGAGTGTTCGATCGAGATCGAGTTCAGGGGTCTCTGTCTTTTTCACTTGCTCAAGGGACCAAAGTGTATATTCTACCTGATTACTATTTTTTTTTTTACTTAAAGAACTGGACAATTATATATAGCTGTTTCTCTTTTATTTAATATGGACATAACGACTTAACGAGTTTAGCCAAGAAACCTGATTAATGTAGAAAAACATTAAGCATTTAACTATTTGTTTTTTTCCCTCCCAATGATTCTCCCATTAAAATATTGTGAATTATTTTGGAATGTACGGATCATTTCATCACATTCAAACGAAACATACCTTATATATACAACATTTTATCCCTATTGATATCGTTATTACTTACTCATTCAGTCATTGTATCTGATGAAAAGAAGAAAAGAAATAACCTCTTTAGTTTATGGCTAAGTACGTCGACAATGGTAAATTGAGAAGTTGGTAAAAAGTTAAAAGTTGCAATGATTTGATAATTTATAACAAACACCAAAAGACCAAATAACATTATGCTTTAGGACTTAGGAGACATAACATTGGCCCAATGGAACGTGTAAATAATGAGTGGAGTGAGAAAATGCGTAAAATGGGCCTGCATTACGACTATTTGATCATTTATCATAGATTTAAAAATTAGAATGCCATTTAGAGATACAATACAAAAGAATTATATGGACCTAAATCAACTTTATAATTTCTTATATTGGAACTGATTTTTCATGATGAATTTGTTGCAATTTCACTGTCTTCCAAAATTGGAAATTGTCACTTTTACGATATATATATATATATAAGATATTAACATCCAGGATGCAACAATACACGCATTATTATATTTTATGTTTTTTTTATATAGCTAATGAAACTTTTTAAAATTATCTTAATTACTGTGAAGATATACCGACTGAGAGGAGACTGGAGACTTTAGTAATGAAGCTATGAAATAGACTCTTGGAGGCTAGGTTGAGACATGGAACAACTGTCAAAGAGAATCAATTCGACTTCATCTTTTTGATGTTTTACATGTTTAATGGATGTGTTTTCACTTTTCATTTTGATTTGTAAAGTGGATATATTATTTATATATTGTAATAAAATTATTAACTTTTCATAAAAGGAATTCTTGCAATTGCACTGGCATTCAACGAAAACTTGTTGTCACTTTAACAAGCGATTAAAGTAATATAATACCATTATCAAAAACCAATTGTCTAGATTTTTCACTAGGATATATATAATGATATTTTATGTTCCATTACAAACATTAAACAAGAGAAGGCAAATTATCTAACTTTTTTTTTTCTTTAAGTAACTTTTAGCGATTGACCCGTTACCACCTTTTGGGAAAAATCCTCCGGGAACTTGTTCTTTTCCACTTCCATACACAATACGAAGTATTTCTTTTGGTGTTCGGCCAAATGAAAGTGAATTTGTATTGCCAGCTAAAACATTTCCAGTTAGCACCCCTCTACCGAGTAGGTATGTAGGGACAACAAGCCCTTCATCTTTTAGGCCAGCACGCCCTAACTTGTTGCGTAGCTTTGAGATTTTATGAGTAAATTCTGCTACTGTAATACCATATGGTACCACTATTAGTGTTGCTCGTTCGTAAAGAAGAGTTCTAATAACTGCATCTTGACCTGATTCTACTCCTAAAAGACCGGCTACAAGCTGGTAACAATTTAGCATATTTATAAAACTTGTGTTATATATAAAACTATTTGGTTGATAAATAACATGTAATACATTTTATTAGAATGTGCAGTTACATATGGCATAGATAGAGGGTGTCTAATATTGCTAGTTTAAGATCTTATAGTATATCTGTGTTTTGGTATCTCTTATAAGCATTTTTGGGTGTTTTTTATGTAATAACATAAAAAATGTTTATTGAATTAAATAATTGGTGTTTGATGAGTTGTATTCTTCTAATTTATTTGAAATACTTATAACTTATTATCTGAAAGTACTTTTCATACATGGAAACTAGTTTATGCTTTTACCTCCATTTTACCCCTAAAAAATATGAGTATCTTTTTTGTCATTTTACATGTAAAATAATAATTTTTTAAATATTAAAAACAATTTATCAGCTTATTAAATTCTAGTACTTTATATGTTAATTCAAATATTTTTTTAAAACACCATTTTTTTTGGAACGACAAATAAATTTTTTCTTTCTCCGACATGGATTAAACCCATAACCACCTAGTTAGTTAAAAAAAAAAAAAAGGAAAACATGAGTTTTGATGGAAAAAAGAAAACATGAGTTTTGATTTAACAATCTCAAACACCCCCATAATATATGATATATCCATATGCTATTTTAAAAGACATAATATAAATATACGAGACATTAAATAATACACCTTTCTTGAAGTATTGCTTTTTAGTATTGGATTTGCTCCGACATAACCGGTGAGACCAACGTAAGGAATGATGTATGAGGCAAGCACATAGTTGAGATCATTGGCATAAGGATTGAAAGGTGGGAATAAGTGTCTTCCAAATGCTTTGTTTATTACTTTTGCAAATGATTTTACACTTAAATCCAACAGTGGTCTTGAAAATCCAGGTACTGTGCTTTTAATGGCCCTGTATATGCACATATATTTTAGAAAAAAAAAAGTTTAAATTAAAAAAATTGAAAATATCACAAATATTATAGTAAAAAAAAATGTATCAATTTTTACAATTATCGTCTTGCTCATTTTGCTATGTTAATTATCCAATATCACAAATATCTGGTGTTGATATGGTTCCTCTCATCCCAAATGATGAAGAGTTCAAGTCCGGTATGAGACACTAATATAATTTGTGTAGATTAGAACTTAGAGAGTGTGTGAGAAGACCTGATGTGACCAACTTCTTGATACGCGAATTGCATGATTATATTTCTAACCATAGGACTAAGATTAGCGATCCTTGCACCGATGGGTCGTGGTCCACCATCTGCAAGACCCGATTGGATATGATCCAATCCCCTACCCATAGATCCATGTAAGAAGAACTCAGCCTCCAAATATTCCAAATTTAAAGAAAACTCTAAAAGTTCTCTATCTGTTCTAGGCAACATGGATTTTGCATTTTGGGTTACCGGAGCAAGGAGGAGGAGGAGAAGGAATACACTAGTTATCATTTGGCCAATTGTGGCTGAGGGTGGTGGTGCCATGAATTAATGATCAATTTTGTTTTTTATTATTGATCTTTCTTAAATTTAGCAATCATGTTTTCATGACTTTTTTTTCTTTCTAGGTGTTGAAGTAATTTGTTAGACGTGATGCCATAAAACATGGACATGCAATTCAACACTCGATGGAAGCCTTGGAGGATTTGATGTTGTTTTTTCAATATAAATAGTCGAAATTAATCAAATATATAAGTTTGAATAGCTTTTTAGTTAAGACAGAATATTTATTTGACATAATTTTGTAGAATTTTATAGGATTCATGAAAATGAAGAGCGGAGATAAATTAAAAAAAATAAAAATAAAAAAATAGGTCATTATATAAACTTGTTAACGATTTTAGTAAATAAAATACAAGTACCAAAATATTCTTTGGAAGTATGTACTTAACTGTTTATTCGTATAATTTTTTTTTATTTTTTTATTTTTTGTTGTTGTTGTTGTTTCTATTGTTGCATGAACACTGATTTGTTGGAAAGGAAAAACAAAATAAGTAAGCATGAAAAGTTAATGATACAATCATCAAGTATGAGTTAAAAGCAACCAAATAGGCTTACTATCAACCGTTCATGATAAAAAGATACGTTGGAGTAATGAAAACAATTTCATTATATCTAAGTCATGAAATTTTTTTTTTCTTTTTGTTTATATCTAGGTAATTTTTTTTACACGTCTAGATAACGAATTTTTTGGAAGTATTCATATATGACCATTATGACCGGCTGTAGCAAGTTACATCCGGTCATAATTGTCATATATGAACACTTCTAAAAAATTCGTTACCTAGATGTGCACAAAAAAAAGTTACTCAGATGTGAACAAACTGAAAAACTAATTACCTTGATAAGTCAATTTCTAATCTTTTTTATTTTACTTTCTAATTTTGATTTGGTATAAAATTTAACCTAAATGGTAAATATTTTTAAAATCATAGCATTTTGGTAAATATCTTTTTAAAATACACTACTTTGGTATAAAAAAAACTCTAGATTTGACATGGAAAAAAAACACATCGTCGTTTTATAGAATTTTATTGTTTAAGATATTAAATATAAAAATTTAAATTTACTCGAGACTAAAAGTATCAGAAATGGAGACCAATAATATGAAGAAGAATATAAAAATCCACAACTATGGTAGATAAATCGATTGATTTTGGTTCTTTTAAAGTATGAGGAATCAAATCCAGAATGTTGTCGGTTCTCTTATGATGTAATTTGATTTCCCTGACTTGAAAATAATCTGACAAATTATTGTCACAAAAGGGGGTAAGACAATCTTTCTAGAGTAAATTATACGAATGGTCCCTATGGTTTAGAGTAATTTGCGCGTTTGGTCCCTAAGTTATTATTATTATTTTTGTTGTTGTTGTTGTTGTTGTTGCAAGAACAAGTAAAGAAAAACAAAATAAGTAAGCATGAAAAGTTAATGATACAATCATCAAGTATGAGTTAAAAGCAACCAAATAGGCTTACTATCAACCGTTCATGATAAAAAGATACGTTGGAGTAATGAAAACAATTTCATTATATCTAAGTCATGAAAACATTTTTTTTTCGTTTTGTTTATATCTGGGTAATTTTTTTTACATGTCTAGATAACGATTTTTTTGGAAGTATTCACATATGACAATTATGACCGGCTGTAGTAAGTTACATCCG